CGCCTGTCTGTCGTGCAAATACTTTATTGTATACACAACAGAAGGCAGGAGTTAGATGTTATATAGGTTAGAATAAGAGGAGTGTGTGTGTGCGTGCGTGTGTGTGGCCGCGGTAGCCGAGTGGTCAAGGTATCGGATTGTGGCTGGTCTTGTCACGAGTTCAAGCCCAGTACCACTAAAGACCCGCCGTGTAGCGGAGAGATTCACGTTAAATTTATCGAGAGCTCAAATGTCCTCTGTTGGTGTGGTAGTTAGGAGAGGGGAGTGTCAGCTCAGGTGTCTTCCACCTCACTTGACCATTGTTCAAAATGACGTGGTCCATCGCCAAAAGCCCTCGTGTAGCGACGACAGTGCGACGTTAATATTCACTTACTCAGTGGTTTTGTGTGAAATTGTATGGAGTGCGTTAGAGTTTAAGTAGTTGTAAAATAAAGTTTTTAAGTGAATTTTTTTTTTTAAATAGATAGTAGTGATATCAACAACTAAAATAGCACCTTTTAATTTTATCTGTAAATCACATTGCAAAGAAATAAATGCACCTTTTAGAAAAGAAGTGCATTTTTTTGAATAATTTGCGTCAAAAATTCTTATTGTTTACACAGCTGCAATTTTTTTTGTTTCTTATTTTTATCTTGTAATTATACTTTTATAACTTTATTTATATATTTTTGGTGCAAGAAAACGAATAATATTAATCAATAAACAAATGAGATGTTTTGTTCATTAATTGCGGATATATTTTGTTATTATTTTTCTATTTAGTGATAATTATTCCTTCATATTTAGAAAAATAAAATAGATATATTGTGCAATAAAATTACTATCTGCAATAATGAAATTTAAAAAATATTTTTATATTCTTATAAACATTTAATTTAAGAGAATAACATCAAATGGATATTTTTACACTGGGCCAAATTTTTAGACCTTTAACCTTTATAGATGTTAAAATATTTCTTTCTATTTTTATGACAATTTTTGCACTAGATTTAATTAAAAGTTTATATACAACGTAGAATGTATCGAAATGTACATAAAAAGAAATTATATATAAATTTAAAACAATTTCTAATGTATGTGTGTGTACCTATTGGAATTAAGCAATCAATAAAATAAGCTACGTTAGAATTATTTGGATAGAAGATACGTTAAACCACATTCAAGTTGGAGGCTTCAATAGCCTGAAGCTTTTAATTCTTTTTCTATCTTACTTTCTCTTTTCTAATCCAATACTGATGCAAGTAATCAACATCAATTATTCAAGTATACATCAAAGAAGCTAAAGCGAGGTTTTTTTTTCTTTTCTAGCTTTCTTGCAACAAAATTATCCACAAACGTTACTTTGTTCTTTATTTTAAGATTACGGAATTCTGTATTTATTTCAAAGAGTTACCGGAGTACTATTTAAAAAATTTTCTTATTGTATTAAAATAAACTGAAAATTTTTAACGTACAAACAGGTTTATATGTTCAAAAACAAATTTGGTTGTAGTCGTAAAACAATTTAAATGAAAAAAATTTAATGTAAACCTTGAATAACTAAAGTTTAAAAATACCCAAAAGACGCGGCATCTTTTAAAGATATGTATCAAAACTTTTAGTGTGATGTACTGAATTGAACTCAGTGGCGCAACAGCCCAATGTATATTTTCCAACTCAAATTTATAATTACCGTAAAATATCTTCAAGTTTTTAAAACTGAATAATGGCTTTTGAAATTAAGGAACATTCTGTGCAAGAAAAGACATTTCTTTTTTTTAAAACATTCTAAAATTGCACAAATCGCAGCCGGTAGGATTCGAACCTACGCGGGGAGACCCCAATGGATTTCTAGTCCATCGCCTTAACCACTCGGCCACAGCTGCTTCGAGCGGAAAGCAATTTTTTTCTGTATATTTTCTTACTCAAATTTATAATTATAGTAAAATATATTCAAGTTTTTAAAACTGTGAATAAAGGCTAATGAGATATGCAGGATACATTCTACGAAAAAAAAGACATTAGGCTCGTTTTAAGTCCCTTAATTTAGACAATTCGCAGCCGGGAGGATTCAAACCTACGCGGGGAGACCCCTATGGATTTTGAGTCTATCGCCTTAACCACTCGGCCACAGCTACTTCAAGCGGAAAGCAATTTTTTTATGTATATTTTCCTACTCAAATTTATAATTTTACCGTATTATATCTTAAAGTTTTTAAAACTGAATAATGGCTTTTGAAATTAAGGGAACAATCTGTGCACAAAAAAATACATTTCTTTTTTTATTTAAAAACATTCTAAAATAGCGCAATTCGCAGCCGGTAGGATTCGACCCTACGCGGGGAGACCCCAACGGATTTCAAGTCCATCGCCTTAACCACTCGGCCACAGCTGCTTTGAGCTGGATGAAATTTTTTTATGTAGATTTCCTAACTTCGATGTATAATTACAGTAAAATATCTTCAAGCTTTAAAAACTGAATAAAGGCTAATGAAATTCAGGATACATTCTACAAAAAAAAAGACATTAGGCTCGTTTTAAAGCATCCTAAATTTAGACAATTCGCAGCCGGTAGGATTTGAACCTACGCGGGGAGACCCCAATGGATTTCTAGTCCATCGCCTTAACCACTCGGCCCACACGCTGTGTACAGTTCATGATATGTAATATAAATATGGCAATTCTATAAATCCACATTTTTTAACATTTCTGTGTTGTTTTTAAAGGTGCAATTATATATTTTAAAAACATCAGTGAAGAAAAAATTTCTATAATCATTAATTAAAACTTTCACAGAAGATGGATTCGAAATTACGCGGGGAGACCCCAATGGATTTCAAGTCCATTGCCTTAACCCTAGCCCAAAATTGTTGAGCAGGCAAATTTTATGTATATTATCTGACTCAAATTTTATATATATATATATAATTACAGTAATATATATCTTCAAGTTTTTAAAACTGAATAAAAGCTATTGAGATTAAGGATACATTCTATTAAAAAAAAAAAACATTATGCTCGTTTTACAGCATCATAAATTTAGTTTCAAACGGGAGGATTCGGGAAACCCTTTGCGTGGAGACCCCTTGATTTCGAGTCCATCGCCTTAACCACTCAGCCACAGCTGCTTCTAGGTGAAAGCAATTTTTTTTTGTATATTTTCCTACTCAAATTTGTAATTACCGTAAAATATATATATATATATCTTCAAGTTTTTAAAACTGAATAATGGCTTTTGAAATTAAGGGAACAATCTGTGCAAAAAAAGACATTTCTTTTTAAAATATTCTAAAATTGGCAAATCGCAGCCGGTAGATTCGAACCACGCGGGTAGACAGATGGATTTCGAGTCCATTGCCTTTAAACCCCTCGGCCACGCGCTTCAGTGGTTAGCAAATTTTATTATATATTCTTACGAAATTTATAATTAAGTAAAAAAATTTTCAATTTTTAAAAATTTAATAACGGTTTTGAGATTCAGGATACATTCTATTAAAAAAAAAATTATTTCCGTTTTAAAGGGATCCAAAATTTTGGGCAATTCGGATGGTGGATTTGAACCTACGCGGGAGATCCCAATGGATTTCTATCCCTCCCTTGTGCCCCGCTGCTCCGAAAGAAAGCAATTTTTCTGTATATTTTCTTACTCAAATTTATAATTATAGTAAAATATATTCAAATTTTTTAAAAAGAATAAAGCTTTGAAATTCAGGGAACTTCTTGCAAAAAATTACGTTTTTTAAAACATTCTAATATAGCTCAATTCGCAGACGGTGGTTGAACCTTACGGGGGACCCCCCAAAAGGGTTTCAAGTCCATCGCCTTAACCCGTGGCCCAAAGGCTTCGAGCGAAAAAATTTTTTTTTTTTGTAGATTTCATACCCGATGTATAATTAAAAAAATATTTGTTTTAAAAAAATGAATAAAAGCAATGAAATTTAGGTACATTCTACGCAAAAAACATCCCGTTTAAAGCATTATAAGTTTAACAAACCCCCGTTGGTAGAAGTCGAACCACCGGGGCCCCAATGGATTTCGAGTCCATCGCCTTAACCACTCCACGCTCTTTGACCCAAAAAACAATTTTTTTTCTATATTTTTTTACTATAATTTAGAATTAAAGTAAAATATATTTTTAATTATATAAAAAATTGGGAAAAAGGCGAGATTCAGAACTTTTATTTAAAAAAAAAATTATGCTCGTTTAAAGTAAAATTTAAAATTTTCAACCGGTAGTTGAACCCGCGGGGGTCTAATAAATTTGAGCCATCGCCTTAATCACTCGTCCCCAGCTGCCGGCAAAAAATTTTTTTTTGTATTTTCCTACCAAATTTATATAATTACCGAAAATATCTTCGTTTTAAAACGAATAAAACAAAAGAAATTCAGGATAAATTTTAAAAAAAAAAGACAGGTCATTTAAAACATCCTAAATTTAGACAATTGCAGACGGTAGGGGTTCGAACCAGGGGGGGACCCCAATGGGTTTCAAGTCCATCCCTTAACCCTCGTCCACAGCTGTTTCGAGCAGAAAGCAATTTTTTTTTTATATTTTCTTTTAAAAATTACAGTAATATATCTTCAAGTTTTTAAAAAATGAATAATGGCTTTTTTAAATCGGAACTTTTGTGCAAAAAAAAACATTTTTAACATATTCTAAATTGCAGAGATCGCAGCCAGTAAGATTCGAACCTCCTAAACCCCCAAAGGATTTCAGTCCATCGCCTTAACCACTGGCCACAGCTGCTTCAAGCGGGAAAACAATTTTTTTTTTGTATACTTTCTGACTCAAATTTATAATTATAGTAAAAAATATTCATGTTTTAAAAATTTAATAAAGAGAGAGAGGCTAATGAAATTCAGGTTACATTCTACGAAAAAAAGACACTAGGGTCGTTTTAAAGCATCCTAAATTTAGACAAATCGCATCTGGTAGGATTCAAACGTTCGCGGGGGGACCCCAGGATTCCCAAATCCATCGCCTTAACCACTCGGCCCACGGTTTTTTTACAGTTCAGATATGTAATATAAATATGGGAAATTCTGTAATTTCGGCCACAGCTGCTTCGAGCGGGCAAATTTTTTTGTATATTATCCTATAAATTTATAAATTCGAAATATATTCATGTTTTAAAAATGAATAATCTTTTAAATTCAGGAACATTCTATGCAAGAAAAAAATTACGTGTTTTTTTTAAAAATTCTAAAAAAATACAATTCGTATCCGGTAGAAAAAAGAACCCAGCGGGGGGACCAATGGGTTTAAGACCATGTTTTAACCACTCGGCCACAGCTGCTTGAGGGGAAAGCAATTTTTTCTTTTATTTTCTTTCCCCAAACTTATAATATTATAGTAAATTATATTCAATTTTTAAAAACTGAATAAAGAGAGGTTATAAAATTCAGGATACATTCTACGAAAAAAAAAAAATTGGGCCTTTTTTAAAACATCTAAATTTAGACAATTTGCAGCCGGTAGGATTTTTAACCCCCGCAGGGAGCCCCCGGGGTTTCGAGTCCATCCCATTAACCACCGGCCCCAGCTGTTTTAGCAGATAAATTTTTTTAAAGTATGTTTTTTACTCAAATTTATATTTAAAGTAAATTATTTTTTAATTTTATAAAAAATGCAAAACGGTTTTTTAGATTCAGGATACATTCTTTAAAAAAAAAAAAATTTTCTCGTTTTAAATATCTATTAAGACAATTTGCAGCCGGCAGGATTTGAACCTACCGGGGAACCGAACGTATTTCGAGTCCACCGCCAAAACCCCCC